TAGAATATTCCTTAGCAGCAAGAATAACCAGACTTTGTTACTGATACTTTGGTCATCTTGTCAGAAGGGACCGGTAGACAGAGAAGGATACCATGCTTGATAAAGTGGAAGAGGATCAGTGAAAAAAGGGAAGCGCTTCAAAGCGAAGGATTGACATGGTGGTTGTGATGATAAGCTCAAGAGTGGCAATGACCGTGATGATGAGGGACTACGCAGTGTTTCGTTCTGCTGCACACAGGGCTGCTATGAGTCAGAACCAACTCAACGGCACCTAACAACAACACAGCCACATTATTGTTTATATTACTGCTATTCGTTTATGTTTCACTTCCCCTGAGTAAGTCTGAATCAGAGATTTGTCTATTTATCTTTGTGTGCACTACTCAAACATGGTAGGTGCAGTGAAAGTTTGTTGAGTGCATGAATGCTGATAACTTATGGTTGATTAAGATACTGTTTTAAACTTTCTTTGCATAGAACTTTACGTAGACTTGTTCCAATGTCAAAATAGTGCCATTAGTAATGACTGTAGTCCCATTAATTACAACATTTCTGTTTGTTCTATATTTGGTTATCAAAACAGGAGGAGCTCTTTGTCATGCTTGAAGAAGCAGATTTGAGGATTTGAGGTGGTGGTTCCATATATACTTTTGTTTCTAGCTCTTCTTTACCATGGTCTGAAGGACTGGTTTTCTGAAGTTTTAGAGACTAGTTTTGAGATACTAATACAAATGGTAAAAGAATTACTCTATGATGCCTTGATTTGTTACATATCATAATCTCATCCACTTACCAATAGACAACTTAGCTTCAAATGAAAAACTAAAAGCACATATAACAGTATTAGAAAAATTAGACAAATATAGTTCTAGGTAATTAAATAACATGATCATATTTTTTCAACATGCAATTTAAAACATTTCAATAACGTCTTCATTTTGAAAAAAAAAATCCAAATTTAAATAAAACCTAACTAAAATATTACTACCTTGAATTCAGTGTAATGTAAACATTGTATTAACACAGGCTTTTTGTTTGTTTGTTCAAACAGAACATTTCAACCTTGCACTTTCTTTTTTTCACAGAACTAATTTCTTTTAATGCTAGGATTTAATAATAACAACGACCAAAGTGTTCCTACCTGAGATTACTCACTGTGCTCAAATTTTCTTCTGTCATAATATATACCAATATACGCCTTTTTTCCCTAGGCAAGTGAAACATGTTCTGGTCATCAGTGTGGCTCTTTCCACTCACTACAGGAAGGAAATAATTCTCTGATATGTTATAGAATGATTCATATAAAAAAGAAATGACTTACAAGACTGATGGGAAAGCCAACCAACTTTCATTCCTTTTTCTACAGTTAACAGAGGATAACAATTATATTCTGTAATGCCAAACAGAAAAATAAATTGAAAAAAATTTCCCATTTGAGAAAAAGAAACTTAGTGAAAGGACTATAGTCCCATGATAAAGAGAGGATAATATGTGGGTTTAGGGCTGAATATTTTCTGTAGATAATGTGCCTCCTTCAACGTTTTCATTAATCATCGCCACTTCCAAGAATCTGAGCTATTCTTGCCAACACTACATTTTATCAAACAAGGCATATATGCTTCATGAGATGTGATGATATGAAAATCATCAGACTATACCTTAAAAATGCAAAACTTCAGTTCAGAAGTTCAACTCTTCAACTTCAGAGCTGAGTGGGAGAAAATAGGTTCTGAATGAAAAGGCTCTTATTTTAGGCTACAGCCTGAAATACAAAGCAATTCTAAAGAATTCAGAAAATATCATTCTAGTCCACACTTGAATGGGGCCATTGACTTTATCTTCTTTTTTTTTTTTTTTAAATATATATTTTATTGTATTTTTAGTGAAAGTGGACACAGAAAAAGAGGTTTCCATTCACCAATTTCTACACATATTGATCAGTGACCTTGGTTACAGTCTTCACATTGTGTCCACAGTCTCATGATTTCATGTCTAGTTGTTGTGCTTCCAATAACCTAGGCTCCCTACCCCCCTACCTTCTTCTGTTTGCTTTAGAGTAATTGTTCACCACTTGGTCTCATATAGATGATTTTTTAAAGGAGCACAGTACTCATGGGTGACATTCCTGATTTTATGATCTAATCTGCTATTTAGCTAAAAGATGACTTTCAAGGGATAGTTTTGGTTCAAGCTTTATAGAGTATCTCAGGGCAACAGGGATTCCTCCAGTCTCATTGGTCCATTAAGTCTGGAACCTTTAAGAATTTGAGGTCTGTTCCACATTTTCCTCCCTTTCTCTCAGGATCCATACTGATCAGAATGTTTGGTATGGAAGCTGGTGACCACCATCTCGTTCTTTAGGACTCAGGATAGAGGAGGCCATGGTTCATGTAGACAATTAATCCTGTAGGCTACTTCCTTCTCTGAATCTTGGGTTTCTTCTTTCTCTTTTGTTCCATTAGAGGAGAAACCAATAGTTGTATCTTAGATGACCACAAGAAAGTTTTTCAGACCCCAGACAATACTTACCAATCTAAGATGTAAAACATAAACTTTGTGAACTATATTATGCCAATTGACTGAGTTGACCCATGAGACTATGGTCCTAAACCTTCAAATAAGAAAATCAATCCCATGAGCTGATTGGTTATGTCCTAGAAATATCAATATCTATTACCTCTATTTGTTTTATATATATGTGTGTGTATACACACACACACACACACACACATATATGTTGTTGTTGTTGTTGTTATGTGCCGTCAAGTCGGCCCCGACTCATAGCGACCCCTCCTTGGGTTTCCGAGGCAGTATCACTACGGAAGTAGGCTTGCCCGACCTTCCTTCCGAGGAGTGGCTGGTGGGTTTGAACCGCCAGCCTTCTGGTGAGCAGTCAAGTGCCTTAGCCACTATGCTACCAGAGCTCCCTATATATATATACGTATATATATAGGGAGCTCTGGTAGCATAGTGGCTAAGACACTTGACTGCTCACCAGAAGGCTGGCGGTTCAAACCCACCAGCCACTCCTCGGAAGGAAGGTCGATATATATATATGTATATATATATATAAACATACATTTTTTGCCTGTTGTTTTTGCAAAATTATATATACCAAAACATACTTTTTCTTGTGTACAATTTAGTGGTATCATTTAGCTTGGCCAAGCTGTGAATACTTCACCCACATTTTGTGTTACTTTTACCACTGCCAAAAATGAAAAATGTACACTATTTAGAGAATGATTCCCCCTCTCCAACCACCCATCCTGGAAACCACTGATGAACATTGGTCTCTGTATATATACCTAATCTCCTCTTTTTATAAAAGTGTTATCAAACAATATTTGTTCCTTTGTGGTTGACTTATTTTGCTCAGTATAATGTCCTCCAGATTCATCCACATTTGTCTCAAGAGGTTTTGAGAATTCATCATTCTTAATGGTTGCATAGTATTCCATAGTATGTATGTACCACATTTTGTATATCCATTCATCCATTGATGGACACTCAGACACTCATTTTCATCTTTTTGCTATTATGAATGTGCTGCAATGAACATAGGTGTACATATGTCTGTTCATGTCTCTTCTATTAGATCTCTAGGGTTTCTATTAGATCTCTAGGGTATATACCTACAAGTGGAATTACTGATTCACAGGTAGTTCTGTTTCTCATTTTCTGAGGAAGCATCATACTGATTTCCATAGCAGTTGTACCATTTTACATTCCAAGCAGAAGTGGATAAGGGTCCCAATCTCCCCACATCCTCACCAACAATTACTGTTTTATTATTATCATTTTAGCAGTGAGAAATGGTATCTCATTGTAGTTTTGTTGGCTACCTGAATGTTCTCTTTGGTGAAGTGTCTGTACTTGTCCTTTGCTACATTCTTATTTCTTAAAAACATGCCATTTGCAGTTTAATCAAAAGTTTTAGCACAAAAGGGTGCAAAATGGGCTTCACAGAGAAAAAAAAAATGTGTCCAAGTAACCATATATTTATAATTTTTTTGTGTGGGATTCATAAAAAAGGAAAAAGCCACCTCAACATATTATTTTAAAACTGAAATGAAACACTGAAATTCATGAAAATGCAAACCATTTTTTGATTACACTTGGAAAACAGTGGGGTAGAGTGTGTATGTTTGGACATATAAATAAAAAGCAAACCATTCATTTTAACTAGCTTTTTAAATGATAAACAATTGAGTTGGTTCTTTAGAAATGCTTGTGGGTCTTCTAAGAAAACAGTATTCTTTGCTTCTACCTCCTCCTCAAAAAACATCATTTGTATTTATTATTTCTCTTTCAGTGAAATTAATATATTACAGATGGGAAAAATATAACATTCCGGATTAAGACTCCTAGATTCAAAGGAAAGGCCTAAAAACATAAATAAATAAATAAGCACAGAGTATTTAGCAACTCTTTACAATATGGAGATATACACTCATAAGGATCTCAGAAATTTTAAAATGAGAGGATATGGACCCTTATCTAAAAATATTCATTCCTAAAGACCTGTAATGGCTTCATAAACTAAGATCCTAGGTCTCCAAAGGAGACCCGGGCAACGTTAGCCCTGCTGCTTTTTACAAGTATCTGTATGTGTCATGGGAGCTCTGGTTGGTGTAGGCCTAAAGCATTTGACTGCTAACCAGAAGAGTGGAAGTTCAAACCCACCAGCCACTCCTTGGAAGGAAGACTGGGCAATCTACTTCTGTAGTGATACTGCCTCAGAAACCCAAGGAGGGGTCGCTAGGAGTTGGATCTGACTTGATGGCACTGAGTTTGGTTTTTTGTTTTTTAGGTATGTGTCATAAATTATTAGAGTCTTCTAATGGTGGTGTAGTGCCTAAGGTATTTGACTGCTACCAGAAGACTGGCGGTTCAAACTCAGCAGCACTTCTTGGAAGGAAGACTGGGTAATCTACTTCCATAAAGATACCACCTCAGAAACCCAAGGCGGGGTCTCTGTGAGTCAGAACAGACGTGACGGCAGTGAGTCTGGTTCTGGTTAATGACCCTCAGTTCCTACCCACTGCCATTGAATCTATTCATACTCACAGCAACCCTGTAAGACAGACCAGAACTGCCTCAGTAGGGTTTCCAAAGCTGTACATCTCTACAGAAGCAGACTGCCCCATCTTTCTCCCACAGAGCGGCTGATGGGTTTGAACCTATGATTTTTGGGTTAGCAGCCAAGAGCTTAACCACTGCACCACCAGCGGTCTCTGAACAAGCTTTAACTACTTCTAGTAGAAAGACCTTTTCCCTATGCAATTAAAGTCAGGATAAGATCTAATAAGGTTATACATGCAATTGCAGCACATGTAAGCTCTGAGAACAGTGCACAATAGTAGAATGTCCAATCTTCCTTCTGAGGAGTGGCTAGTGGGTTTGAACGGTCAGCCTGGTTAGCAGTTAAATGCCTTAGGCACTATGCCACCAGAGCTCCCCATTAATATTATTGCTGTTATTCATATACTATTCAGTATTATTTTGCATTTTATTGTTTAAGTGTTGTCTCATCACCCAGTGTCCTCAAAGGAAGAAATTATATCATATATTCCTTTGTTTTCCTCACAGTGACTGTTGTTGTTGCTGTTAGGTGCTGTCGAGTCAACTCTGACTATGGCGACCCCATGTACAACCGAATGAAACACTGCTAGGTCCTGCCCCACCCTCCTAATCCTTGCTTTGCTTGAGCACAGTGTTGCAGCCACTGTTCCATTCCATCTTGTTGAGAGTCTTCCCCTTTATTGCTGACCCTCCACTTTACCCAGCATGATATTATTTTCCAGGGACTGGTCCCTTCTGACAACGTGACCAAAGTAGGTGAGATAAAGTCTGGCCATTCTCACTTTTAAGGAGCATTCCAGCTGCACTTCTTCCAGGACAGATTTGTTTGTTCTTCTGGCAGTCCATGGTATTTTCACTATTCTTTATCAACACTACAACTCAAAAGGCATCAACCCTTCTTTAATCTTCTTTATTCATTGTCTAGCTTTTACATGCATGTAAGATGACTGAAAATACCATGACTTGGGTCAGGCTCACCTTTGTCTTCAAAGTGACATATTTGCTCCTTAACACTGTAAAGAGGTGTTGTGTAGCATATTTTCCCAGTGCAATATGATGTCTGATTTCTTGACTGCTGCTTCCATGGGTGTTGATTGTGGATCCAAGTAAAATGAAATCCTCGACAATTTCAAT